CGGGAAAGGACTTCCGAGGAAGCAATGGTAAAGTAGTTGGTTACTGGAGAGCCCAAAAGTGCAATGGAATGAGGAGCTAATATAGGAACCAGCTTTTCAGAATTCCTCTCCCGAGAAAGAGAGGACTGGGGATCACCCACACCCACTGCAGACAGCAGCTCCCTGCAATGAGAATATATGACAATGGTCTCCAGAAGGCTCTGGCTCTGCAGACCGGTGGCAATGGTATGCGGAAGAGGGGATAGTTCTGCGTATAAATAATAATAATAATTCATTTTATGGATGGTTTAGAATTCTGTAAAAAGAGGAAGAATTTGAAATTAAATATAATAAACCTTCCTGTGGGAAAAACATTGTAAATTAGAAAAAAAAAACCATGATAAAAGGACCTTGAAGGTTGGACATAGAACTAAAGCAAACTGAAGATTATAACTGAAAGAGAAGTGACCCACTAATACAGAATGGAGCAAAATATTCTAACTTTGGAGATTTTAAGGATATTTGTAAACAGTACACTTGGAAATTATGATAAGTTATTGAAACTGTTTGTACTTGAGAGATAGGGGGAAGTCAAGTCTTTGGATAGCTTTTTGTCCTTTTTACTATATATTTTTACAATTTTATCTGCACTTTTTATATTTTGTTTTTACTTTTTAAATATTTTTCTTAATTTGCATTAGCTTTTTATCTGTGTATCTTAAAACTTTAATACAAGTCATTATTCTGTAAAAAAACAAAAAGACAAAAGGAAGACTATATAGCAAAACAATCCTTGGGTGCAAAGCACTCAATGACTAAGCAATATAAAGTAGACTTTGCTGTTTAATATGACTAGAGTGTGTATGTATGGATGGACGTATGTATGTTTCCTATTTCTAAAATGCCCATCTCCCTCAGAGAGGTACTGGTAATTGGGCAGCATCTAAATTTAATTAAATTAATTATTACTACAAAAAAGAATCCTACCAAACATTAAGCCATGCTAGGATTCAAGAATATGCAAGAGAGACCCAAACAGGTTCACATGGCTTTGCATAGCTCCCATAAAGCATAGCAGTACCTCCAACTGGAATATCTCCTTGTATAACCTTCAGCCACAAGGCTCTCCTCAGCACAGATGTCCTTCAGCCTCTTCCAGGCTGGGCAGGTGGTCACTTGGTCCACACGTTGCCCCCAGGCATCAAAATGCAATAATCTAGGAGGGTTTAGCTCACACTGACGGCCCAAGAAGGCAATTTCATCTCTCACACGAGCTCCAAACCGTTCCAGATCAATGTTCACTTTGGCAAACACCTAGAAGGTCAATGCATAAATATGAAAGACAGGAACTAGAAAGTTGCCTTTTGAAAAAGTACTTTTGAGACAACTATGACCTGGAAAACCGAGAATCTCCACAGACAACCAGAAAGTAATTTTGAGAGGGATAAAGGAAGGTAAGTTGAAAATCAGTTGCTGGTTTTTTTTCTTATTTGGTCTGTAGTTTTACCTGATGTTGAAGCTGATATTTCTTGTTCAAACCTCAAGCTAAGTTTGTGGTTAGTACAATCTGGTTACATCTCAGTGTCTTTCCTAAAGAGCACTTGGAATACATGTGATCCAGAAACTAGCTTGAAGTTTTTGCACATATTCATTAGTATTCACTCCAAAGTCCCTTCCGACCCTATTATTCTATATTCTTTCACCGCATTTGTATCATCCATTTTTTGGGGTGGTGGTGAAACAATTGATGAAAATACAGCGTTCAAAAGGCATGTCTGAATCAAAGTTCCTTTTCCTGACAGCCATCTCTAGTTCCGAATCTGAAACATGTCCATGTATTGGGGAACATAAATTGAGGACTCTCCCAAGTTCTACTTGGCGTGTCATATGAACACCGAAATCTAGGCAATCATTTATCCCATTTGGTCTACTTCCCATCAGGAAAGAACAACTGGAAACCTCTCCAGCACTTTCTGCGTTCTTAAACCTCTGCATTAAAAAGGTGCAAGCTGTGCTTGGAAGCCAAAGTGCCTTTTGCACAACTTCAGTGCTTATAAAATTGGATAACAAGCTTTTGTTTTTTTATATATATATATATATATAACGGTATCAAGGCACAAACCCGCTATCAATCACAATAGGAACATCTAAATCGACTTAAAGAGTTTTACCTACATTAGGTACAAGCAGTTTGGGGAACAGGTTCGGGAAGCGCTGCTCAATAGTCCCAGGAACAGGTCTTTCCCACCCCCGGTATTTTAATTTCTCCTTCTTTCTGCTTTTTGTCCCTGCAAGCACGGGGCAGGCAGCGTTCCCAAACCTGAGACGCAGAGAATCGGAGCTTTCCGCCCCGGTTGGCACTCTCCTAGAACCCTCCGGCTGGAAGGGGCCTCGGAGGTCTTCTAGTCTACCCCCTTGCCCCGGGCAGGAGTCCTCGCCCTCCATCCCCTATCTGGTCACGGGACTGGGGCGGGGCAGGGGGCGCGGGGGCTAAAGCGGTGGGGGGGGGGAGGGAGCCGCGGGCAGCAAAGGAGACGGAGAAGCCCCGAGCCAGCCCCGCGGCCCCCACCGCCGAGTCCCCGTCCGACGCTCACGCACCTGGGCGGGCAGATGGGCTCTCAGGTAACCCTGGAGGAAGGGGTCTTCCAGGTAGAGGTTCCCCAACCGAGGCGCCTCCATGGTTGCAGAGGGGTGCACCAGCGCTCCGCAGCCTCCCGGTTCCCGCAGAGGCTCCCGCTGAGGAAGGGGCGACCGGGGCGAAGCTTTTGTCCTCCTGCGCGGGTTGCCCGTGGGCGGGGATTCTGACGGTTCGGGGAAAGCGTGATCTTTGCACCCAGAGAAAAGAACAGCGAACGTTTGGACAGCTCCCTCCACCCTCGGGGGCATTGCGAGGGCGGCCCTGGGCTTGCTCCCAGAGAGGAGGAGGAGGCCAGGGATCAGGGACGCCGAGCGGTTGGCAGGCAGCTCCGGGCGCTCTTCGTTGAAGGAAGCGCCCCTCCCGATTCACTCCTCCGGTCTTCAAAAACGGGGCCGTGGGTGAGGTGGGAACGGACCCATCAGCCTCACATGAATAGCTGGGGAAACCCTGGAAAAGATAACCAGAGCAACAGATCTCCCAACATTTAGAAAAACTCCCCTTGTGTCTAGTTGTTCTGACGTGCAGGGCTCTATAGGGTCGTTTTGAGGGTAGTAGTTGAAACAAGGGGAGTTTTATGTCCGGGATGTGAGGGGTCTGTAAATATTTCATCAAGAAAGTAGTCTGTAAAAGCATAGAAATGAGCAAAGTTATGCACTAAAACAGAATATATGGCTGTTGCGGGGAGGGGGGTGGAGACAGTGGGTTCAGTCTGAATTAAAACAGTTTACAAATGACTTTGGATCTCTAGATTAGCCTTTCTTAGCCCGGGTTCAGGAAATCGACCCTTAAGCCTGCTAGTTGGGGAATTCTGGGAAATAAAACCCATAAAGGGATGCTGGCTGGGGAAAAGTCCAAGAATCTTGGAAGTTGAAAAGCTTGTACACTTTAAAGCAAGAGGGCTGGGGAATTCTGGGAGTTGAAGTCCAACCCATTTTCAAGCACGCTGGCTGAGGAATTCTGGGAGGCTTATAGGCCGCTCAGAGCTCAGGGGATAATGGGAGAGGCAACGAATAGCAAGAAAGAAAAGAAAAAGAAAGAAAGAAAGAAAGAGCTAAAAGAGCAACTGAGAGGAGAGCTGCCCAGACAGGGATGGAGGGAGGTATGAGGCACCTGAGGGGAGATGATGGTGGACCAAGATGGCCTCCTTCTTCCCGCCAAAATTCCCTCAGAGCTTTTTGAAAAGTTACTCTCATTTTTTCCATTTTATTATTCGTAATAAACTGATATTCAAAGGTGCTTTTTCTCTACTGTTGCCTGCCCCTTACATTATTGTTAAAAAGAGCCTTTCGTTACTATAAAATATATTTTCCTCTTCAATTGGCTAATTGGCTAACCCTAACCCTTAAATTATTGTGAAGAAGAACTTTTTCTCTTTTGTCACCTGCCCCTTAAACTATTACTAAAAAGATCCCGCCCCACTTCTTCACTGGCCTATTACATTGATTTAAAAATGAAGGGCATCAAATGCATTGATTTAAAAAACAAAACAAAATGAAAACATGTCAGATTGTATTTAACATTTGTTCACAGATTTATTTTTGCCCATAATGTCTTTTTTGTCTTTATCATCTTCTTTATTCTGCCCTTTTTAAATATTTTGAAACAAATGCTTAAATCTTTAAAACAATAAAAACAAACAACCCCCTCAACATTGAGACACTCTTATCTTTAATTATTCATAATAAATTGATATTCTGCCTCAATTTGATTCTCCACTATTGTCTGCCCCTTAAATTATTGTTAAAAAGAACACTTTCAGTTCTTAAATTATTACTTAAATTATTACTATAAAGTACATTCTTCTCTTCACTTTGCTATTCCTCAAATCAATAAGAAAACCCTTTTTCTCTTCAGTTACCTGTACCTTAAAACTATTATTAGAAAGAACTTTTCATTTTCCCATTACAGTGATTTTAAATTAAGATTTAAAAACAAAACAGGACATAAAATGCATTGATTTAAAAAACAAAATGAAAAACATGTTAAATTTTATGTACGGTATATTTACAATTAAAATTGTATTTACAATACAATTATGTATTTTTACCCACAATGTCCTTTTCGTCTTTTATATGTAGTCATTTGTTTTGTTATTTACATGTTTTGAAACAAACATTTAAACTTTTCACAAATAATAAAAAAAAACAGCTGCTAAACTGAAACAATATATTTTAAATGTTATGACATTGTAAAATTGTAAAATTTGTTTATCAAAAGATGTGGGCTGGACTGGAGGCTTTGAAGAAGAAATTAAATAGCTACTTGTCAAAAAGCTTCTTGAGCAGGGGTTGAACTAGATAATCTTCAAGGTACCTTCCAACTCTGTTATTCTGTTATACTTTCTATCTATAATGTCTTTTTTTAAAAAACTTCCTTCTGTTACATTTTATCCAGCCATAAATTTTGCCCTTTAAATGTTTAAAATAAAAATTTTAAAGGTATAAAAACACTTAAGGGTGAAAAATGCAACAGGCAGCAATGCATAAAATGCAGAGTTTGAAAGGAGAAAAATTCCGAGATATTTCAGAGGCAGAATCAGGGGATGAAAGAAACTCGTATCCAGGAGGGTGCTGATGGCAATTTGTGCTCATCACATGAACAGATCAAAGGATAAGCACAAGCTGGATGCACGTTGCTTGAATGTAAAAATTACATCAAACATAGAACTGTCTCCTCTTCCTTTAGGTTGTGACCCAAAAGCCAGCTCTCTAAATTAATATGGCTACTGCCCAAATCATGCATGTCGGCCAGAAGCATAAAACCTTGAAGGTATGAAACCCCAGATGAATAAAATGCTTAGGAAAGAAAATGGGGGATTTGCTTTTGAATTTCCTTTCTTAACAGATGTGCAACTCCTTTTTGTCTGATGCAGGAAACGGCCCTCTTTCCGAGCCGAATTGCTTCTGAGCAAGAGTCCCTGATTCTGGTGAAAAGGTTGCTTGCAGTTTCCATTTCCTGCATCAGTTACCTCCGAGGTCTCTTCCCGGAAAGCTCTTATGGAACCTGCTATTTAGAAGGTAAACATGTTTGCTGCCTTAACTGAGATTGCTCTGGCCACATCTCCCTTTTGGCAGCCTCCAGAGCTGTCTCCAAAGATCCAACTAAATTTATTCGCATGCAAAAAGTAAAACCAGTATTCCTGAACCTGCTTGAAGTTACAATAGTACTGAAGAAAGTGATTGATGACTATCTTTCACAACTGTTGCTTTGTTGTTGTGATCAAAATTTGGATGTTTGGCAACTAACTCATATTTACGACAGTTGCAGTATCCCAGGGCCATGTGATCACCCTTTGTGACCACCCTTTGTGACCTTCTGACAAGCAAAGTCCCCTCAGGGTGAATTCAGGTTGCTGTGAATGTTTTATTTCAAGCTGTTCACATCTATGAGGGGCACCTAAGAGGTTTGGGAGTGAATGCAGCTCACGTGTGTGAGGAGCACATTTACCGCCACACCAATCATAACATTTTGTTTCATAATTGCATATTGTCATGAAAATGAACCATGTAAATTGGCATATGTTCTTCAAAGTGATCTAGTTTAGTAGAATAGAATAAAGACAAAAGATAATAGTTTTAAAAGGCAAGTGCTACCCATAGCTCATCAAGTGAGTGTAATTATATTGCAGGGAAAATCACCTTACATTTTGATGCTATAAGGCTGTCATTAAATGCATTAAAAGTAATTGCACAATTCATAGTTTCACAATGTCCAGTCTTCACAGCACCTGAAAATGAAACATTGGTTAATTCTACATCATTATGTACTTCTTTTTCCAGATATATGTTTAAAGATACTCAGAGAAGATAAAAGTTGCCAAGGATCACTTCAGGTAGTAAAATGGTAAGAGTGAGAAAATAACACCAGAATACAGAACTGAGCACCTGTCAGTATACTTTAAATATACAGCATTAATCAATAGTTGTGCAAGGCCAGATAGATTCATTTTATTAGTGATCAGCTGTTAACTGCACCTGCCAGTTTAGAAATTTCTCTCATCAACAGATTTCTGATGTTTGCTCATCTTCATTTCTTCTTTGATAGGATCCAGGGATGTTTTGATGCTCTGGAAAAGAACTACGTAAGTCGTAATTAAACTCACATTGAAGGTGTCTTTGATGCAATGTGATTTCATCCCAAATTTTCAGAAAAAAATCTTCTTGTTCTTTTGCTTTGAATGACCATATACACAAAAGCAATTCCACACAAATCGTTTGCTGAAAACTTTCAAATGTTTAACTTTGATATTTTGCCTTTGGAGTGACTATAGAAATGTTAATAAATCTAACTAATTGGCATATTTTTTAAGATTGCCTTATGCACTGCAATACTTTGCTTGAGACTTGAAAGACCACAACTTGCTATAATTATAAAAGATTTTAAGAAAGAGACTAGACCAGAGTTATTCGGTAAATTTTAAGCTGAGTATGCATTTGATCCCTGGTCTTTCTAGTCCTTGTCCAACCAAGGGAATATAAATGATGTAAACCTTCATATTTGGTGCCAAATATCTTATCACAAATTTGTGCCGCTGGCTGAGTGTTTCAAGTCATCCTAACAGTGCAATGCCACGTGCCACATCTAAAGTTCTAGTGCCTTGATCCTCAGGTATATTATTGTTTTTTGGAGACATAAAATATCATGAAGGAAATATTTATTTAAAATATCACGAAGGGAATAAATAGTTTTATTCATGATTTTTTTAAAATTTTGAAAAAAGGTTGAGGGATGCAGTTTGGGTCCTTGGAAGAGCAATTGAAATATGCAAAATAGCGATTTAGGTTGGAAAGTTCTGGTATAGAAAGAAAATTTACATCGTATTTAGACAGAGGGAAACACAACTGAAAAAAAGAAAAAAAAATCAATCCCAGCTTCCGTCTTTGTAATGAAGCCAAATGGCCACAGAGTGTCAGTGATGTCCTTGCAATTCATCTGAGTCCTAAAATTCTTCAAATTCTTGATGGGGAAATTACGTCTATTGCAGAAGTAGGTCTGTCCCATTGTGAAGAGGCAGGAAAACTATTTCTTCTCCTCTTCCTTGACATGAAAGGAAGCAGGAACACCTCTCCTCTCAGGACAACCAACTAGCAAATAAAAACACTAAATAGAAGGGATTTTTCTCTTCTGGTGATTGTGATTGAAAGGCAATGATGGGCACACTGTAAATAAAATGCAGATTTTGAACAGTCTCTTTCTTTCTATTTTGCAGCTACATATGGCAGTTTTGGCAGTAAGTACTATGTACAAATCTTCTTCATTCTCAGTTTAGAAAGGGTAACTTGAGGAATCCTATCATATCATGACAAACACAGAAGGGTTTTTTGTCTTTCATATCCAAAACGTTGTCATCTCAACTCTTTTTTAAAAATATTTTTTCATTCCATCACCATCATTGTGATGGATCATTTCTAGAGTTGTTGCGTATTATTTATTTATTAGAGTGGTTAGTTGACCAGGATGGCATACATAGCACTCTCACCTCCGTTTTTCTTCATTACCCTGACATTACCGTGATAGGTAAAGTGCAAAGAATCTACAAGCTGTAATAATAAAGTCAAGGAGCAAAGTGAAAATGTACGGCTAAAAGTAGGTGTAACGAAGACCAAACTAAGGACAATAGTTACCACAATCAACCATAATAGTGATATGGTGGATAGTTTCTGCCTTTTAGGAGCAACTATTAATAATAAAGGAGCAAGCAGTCACAGAATATGGTGCAGTCTACAGTAAGTGCTTGGAAGGTTTCAAGGCCATGGGCAAGCTATTCAGATGCCATGATAGGTCTGCACTTACAAAAATCAGAATGGTGCAGGCATTGGTTTTTTTCTGTGGTACTTTATAGAAGTGAAAGGTGAATTTGGAAAAGGCAGGACCGAAAGAATACTGACATTTTTGAATTTCGCTGTTGGAGAAGACACCTGAGAATACCATGGAACAAATGAAACATCAAACTATTTTTTTTCCAAGGCACCCAAAGGCCAGGCAAGGAATAATGGATGAAAGCTGATCAAGGAGAGATTCAGCCTAGAAATAAGGATAAATTTCCTGACAGTGAGAACAACCATCCCATGGAACAGCTTGCCATTGGACGTTGTGGGAGTTTCATCACTGGAGGATTTCAAGGGTCGATTGGATTGCCATTTGTTGGGGATGGTGTATGGTCTCCTGCTAGGGTGGGAGCGTTGGACTAGATGGCCTACAGTACAAGTTACCTTTCAACAGATTAATAATCTGTTAAAACTGTTAAACCCAGAATTCTTATTCAAGGCACAAATGACCAAGCTCAAATGATAATAATTCAGACAGGTGATGTCGTAGCTTTCTGCAGAAATCTATAATGTAGGGAAAGATGGAAGGAAAGATAGAAGCAAAACTTTCAGCCGCCAGACAAAGGCAGATGGGCTTAGGTACAGTGGTGATGGTGCACTGTTGGAAGACCTGAAAGACCAGGTTGGAACAGATCCTCCTGGAGAAAAATCTATCTAATGTTGCTGAAGGTTTGTAGGAGATGACCAGGCTGAGTCCGAGAGAGGGGTCAAACATTCCATCTGTCTCGAGTCAGTTTGTGCCCAGACAAGATCTTGAATTCCTTTGACTGTTATCTATTGCCAATTTGCTTTGACCACTAATAGTTCAGATTTTTGTTGAGAGCTTGTAATAAATCCTTATATTCATTTGAAGTTCCCGATTTCCGTGCTTGACAGAGTCGACATGAATCAATCAATCAAATCATATAGATTATTATATTTATATTTTTGCTTGAATCTAACAATCTGGAATATTGTGCTACATATTTTCATGAAAGTTATAAATTTGGGCAGGTTGAAGGAGTGTATTGCTTTGACAAAATCATTTCACACAGCATTAACACCTCCCACTGGGGGAAAAAGGCAAAAATGAAGTACTAATGCCAAGAAAGATAATTCTCTTCCAACTCTTTTATTTGCTATTGGAAAGATAAAGCCTTCCACTAGTGGAACAATTGAACAAGACTTCAAAGATGCACAAAATAGTTTGATGAGGCAAATTGCAACACTTCGCCATCTTAGCTAAATAGATCATGTTATCTCTGTTCTATAAAAAAACCCTCACTGAAATTAAATGCGGCCACACACTTCTACTAGTAGAGATTTTTAAAACAAATTTCTTTTGGGTTGGAAGGGTTGATGAATTGACCACAGTTATCTATGTAGGTGGTGAACAATTCTCTGGATAAGAGCTTGGCTTATGGAAAAATTTGCTTAATTTCTCCAAATATAGGCACGCTCTTCTCATCATTTTATAATTTGCTCAGTTTATGTGACTAGTTACAGATGCAGGAAGAATGACAAAAAGAAACATTCCTGCAATTATGATTATCAGTCTGTGATCAAACAAAACTGTGGTTTGGCTTTCTTTTTGTTATGATAGTTCACTGAAAAGCCATATTAATTTTGTCTACTTTCTTGAAACAGATCTATACCAATCCCAAAGACCCTGAGGTAAGAGGTACAAACTGTAAACCACAAGCAGTACAGACAGATATTTTTCATTTCATATTTAAGTCAGACGGGATTCATCTGATTAGTTGCCTTGATAATGATGCAAATCAAATATATAAATTCCCTTTAGTATCATTATTACATCTAGTTTTTGCGGGCCACTTCACACTTTTTCCACCCTTTTTTTGCCCAAACTTCTGATTATTAAATTTGCCTACTACTCAAGATACAGAAAATTTCTAATGGAAGGAAACTTATCAAGGAGGGAATCAACCTAGAATTAAAGAGAAATTTCATGACAATTGTGGGTGTTTCATCATTAGAGGTTTTGAAGAAGAGACAGAACAGCCATTTATCTGAAATGGTATAAGGTCTCCTGAATGAGCAAGGATTGGACTAGAAGACCTCCGAGGTCCCTTCTAATTCTGTTATTCTGATAATTAATAAACTATCTTTAAGGGAAAGTTTGATATTAAATTTATGCTGTAGCAATGATATTAGATTATTTCCTGTTCAATACCATTGCCTATCATTGCCTACCATTGTCTTTCTCCGTTCTTATTACGTTGTACTTTTTTTCTGTCATGTTACTGTATTTTTTTAATTGACTGAATTGTAAACTTTTCTGAATAATAATATCACTGATCAAATATAAATTTATATTTGTACATTAAATAAGTACTTCAGTGTTCTCTTTAAAAAATGGAAAACAAGTTCTGTTTCCTGTTCCATCCTTAGCGCTTGACAGAATTTTATCAGTTCAAATTCAAATACTCAAAGAATGGACCCCAGATGGACTTTGCTAGGTAATTTTCTTGTTCTTTAATTTCTGGAAACATTGGACACTTTATATTAAATACCTCAGGAGCAGAAATTATTATTAGGAACCCAAATTCTGACTTCTTTAATTTTTAATGTTTTCATTGCATAAGTGTAGTCTCTAATGTATGTCTATTAACAAATTCATTATTTTTTCAGGACTATGGAAACTGATTACTGTAGCAAATTGCTGCTTACAGAGCAACCATTTTTAAACAATGGCTTCTCAGTCGTGCATCTAATCAGCTTGAAATCATAATAATAGCTCAAAACCCTGTTGGAAAGTGGCAGGTGGATTAAAAAAAAATTTCTCAGGATAGACATACAAGGAACTTTTTTCCACCTGGTGGTATATCATGTGGAAATATACTTTTGATCTTGAAGCACGTTTTGGGTATAATGTGGTAATCTTGGAAGTTGTGGGACAAAAAAATGGTTTGCCCCCCTCAGCTGCTTTTTTGAACAGCTCACCCTTCATTATGCACCAGTCTTGTAGTCTCTGCTCACTGTGTGAACTTGTGAAAAATAGAAAGGTATGTTTTACCTACCATCCAGCCTTTTTTTCTTTTTAATTTAAGCTGGGCCCGTTCTGTCTAATGGGAATTTATGCACCATTTCTTATTTCTTTAGAAAGGACACACAAAGATAGAAGTTCAGTAGTCCAACAAAAGAGTATTCATCATCTTTTTGTGTGTTTGGAGATGTGCCCTGGTGCATCATGGTGTCAATTCACTGTTAATGACCCAGTTTGTAATTCTAGACAATTGCCAACCACCAATATGCCTTCGTCGCCCTATTTATCTTATTGAAATTATAAAAAGGACTCCACAGCTTTGTCCTGTCCTTCCAGTAAATGAGTCAGTGGGTGCTCTATATTTGTCCTTAATGTGCTGTATTTAGTTTTTACTCTTTTGACTTACGCTGCAGCTGAGAAGTGGTACTCCAATCCTAACAAATGTCTTAGTTGTGGAGTATACACATCTGACTTACTCTGACTTAATTAATGTATCATCCTACTTGTGGCAAATCCATCTGGATACTAGCTGTCTGTAAGAAGTCTTAGACTTCTTAGTAGGGAGTCCATCTGGTATTGGATCAATGTAGTGTTGGTTTAGGTATTTAACAATGGGCTCACAGCGACTTAGTAACCAAAATACTTTTGGATGGCACATTTTGCTTGGATTTAGTCCATGTGCCTTTTTGTCCAATTTTTAGGATTGTTTAATCATTTAGTGTCCTAAATAAATAGTTTAGGAACAAACTTGCTAACATAAGCAATTAAAGTTTAAGGCAGTCATTTAGCTCTTAACAATTCTTATTTCTCACAATATGCAAAAAGAGCCCAAATTCTTCGCCCCATCCATTCAGGGAAGCCTCTGGGATTTACAGAATCTATGCTGGCAGGCTGCATGTGCATTCTTGGTTTAAGCCACATCAGTCAAGATCATTTTTAACATATGTGTTGTTTTCCTGGTAGTTCTCAAGTCAGCTTTCACAATGGAACAAATGGTGAAGAAATTAAAAAAGCCAGTATCCTATTGATCCGCAAATTATATATATTGATGCAGCATCTTGGGCCCCTACCCAATGATATTACTTTGACCATGAAACTGTTCTATTACAAAGATGGTAAGTAGCAAGATTTCCTAACTGTTCCGGCTTCCACTTAGGACAAAACCCAACTCAGAGATGTTAGAAGTTGCCATTGAAATGGCATTGGAGTTGCCAATGCAAGACTAGGGGTTTGCAACTCAGCTAGAAGTAAATGTGGAATCAATAATAAAGCAACAAGATCCCCCCCCCCCCGTGTGTGTGTGTGTGTGAGAGAGAGAGAGAGAGTGAAAGAGAGAGATTGAAAATCTTAGCTCAGGACTTGTGAACCTTGAAATGGGAAATAGTGCCCTCAATGCTGGTTCTGCTAAAAACCAGCTCTATCATTTCCTCTCCCAGTTGTTTGCACTCAGGTTGCTCTCTCTAGGAACAAGAATTTACATTTTTCTCCTTCCCTTTCCTCCTCTTTTCCTTCCCTGTTGTATTTTCTAGACAAGATAATATCTGTCCATAACATTATTTTTATTAATCTAAAAAATCATGAGAAACATCTTGGCTGAGTCATAAAGTAAACATTTTAATTAAATTATTGGGGCAAATATGTGCATAAGATCATGAAATTTATTTAGATGCTTTGCCCTATGATAGATAGATGGATGGATGGATGGATGGATGGGTGGGTGGGTAGATGGATGGATGGATGGATAGACAGAGATGGAAGACAGACAGACAGACGGACAGATTCTTGTCCTGGGGACAATACCTGTTGCTCCAGATTTCACACCCACTTCCTTTGCAGTCACGCCCATTGATTACCAGCCCCATGGCTTCAAGGAAGGCGAAAGCTCAGATGGTCTTCTTTTTGATGGTGACCCTGTGAACCTCAAAGTAGGATCTGTTTCCACTGGATTCCATGTGTTGAAAGTGAGGGTCACAACAGATAGCAAAAGGATGGGGATGCTGGAGAACGGTCTAGTGGAAGAGAATGGTCCCACTGAAATCTCCCACCAAGGTTTAGACTGTGATGATGATGAAGAAGAAGAAGAGGACAGCACTAAAGTACCAGAACAGGTTACATTGTCTTTTCCACAAACCAGCTTGTACAAAAATGAGGGTGACCTTATAGTGGGAGTTTCGTTTTCCTAACATCAGTCGTAAAATGGGTTATGAAGTGGTTGTGTGTGGCCTTATTACTTAAAGGCAGGGCACCTGTTTTAAGTACTCCCAGTAAGTATACTGTTACTTTTTTTATTAAGGCAAAGCTGAAATACTTTATTCCTAGGAGGTTTATAGGTTTAAAGGTATGCCTAATTGTTCAGTAGGTTTGCTTTAAAAAAACTTTCTGCATATGACACGAGTCTTTGAATATATATTGACTGTACAAACTTAAAGTGTCTTTACATTAGATCTGGATCTAGGATGACGGAACATACCAGATTCATTGAAGGTGGATCAACTCCATCTCCCATGAAGACCTGAAGGAAAGTTTAAAGGCTAAAGCTACATACAGAAAAGGCACACAGATTAAAACTTAGGGAGAGTCAGTATGGTGTACAAATATTATTGGAAAGATCAAGATTTAAATGTATTAATCAATACATCTGCAAACAAATAACAGTAGCTCAGAAGCCACCAAGAATTCCACAGTTCAATCCTGAACTACAGACGCTCTCTTTGATTGTTACCTCACAGGTTTTTCTTGGTGAAAAAACAAGGGAAGAAGTGATGCTCTTTGCATCTTTTTGAGCACCTATAAGGTTGTTTATCAATTTAGTAAATAAATAATTTGTCAGCAATGGGGAAAAGTTAATATTTGACTTCTTGTGAAGTGGAAAAGAGCTTCTGGTAACTTTTGTTAAAAAGCCTATTGTCCCCCTAAGGAAAAGGATTAAATTTGTCCATTATTATTCCTTCTCCTTTAGAGCAGGATATGACTCTTATTTTTATACTCTACCTGTAGACCATAACAGCAATCTGTTTCCAAAATGAAGAAAGCCCATTGGCCAACTTAATGAGAAGGCCCACGTCAAAATGTACCTGTTTTTGCACAGAGAAAAAAAATTCATCCCAATTTAGTGATTTTTACCCAGAAAAAAAGCCCCTCTAGAATTGTCCTTACAGTAGTTATTTCAGTCACATATCTGCATGCACACACACACACACAAATTTCCCCCAGATAGATTTAAAAGGATTAGGTTTGTGCTGACACAAATCAGTCACATTAACTGAGACTGAATCTCATTTGTGTGATGTTGACAATGATCAAGGAAGGGTGTGGTTTTTTTTTTTTGTATATGATTTTCTGTAAATGAATAAAGGTAGAATCCTCTCTGAAACGGAAAGTTCTGCAGGGAACTGTTAGTGAAAGTAAATTTTAAATTTCTAATGGAAAATACATATCATTCTCATTTCTCATACAGTGGCCAAGGTGACCTGGAGAAAGTGATGATGGTTAAACCATTAGAAAACTGATAGAGAAATCTACCTATTTTCTCTCCTGTGGTTATTCTAACAGTTTTTAAATTCCCTCATTACTTTCATTTTTATAGCGAGACTTTCAGTTGTGGTACGTTTAACTTGTGGGTTAACCAAATTCACACATCACAATGTATCATGCGGTGAATTGAGCAATACCTTTTATTGTCAGTTAGGCAAATAAGGTAGTTACGTCTTCCTTTAACGGAAATTAAAGAAACAGAACATTACATGGTGAATTGTTTTGCAGAGGAAGTTTATGGCTGCTTCCGTGGATAAAAATAGGATGTTTGAAGAAAATGCAGTGTCACAGCACATGCCCTCTTTGAATCCAGATATAACAGGTATATCTATTTAAAACATACATTATGTGTACATCCCAGAGGCATTTTCTGTCATTAACTGGACATTGGATTTATATGACATAGTTTGCTTGGTTTTGAGGTACAGATTATCCTTATGACCACAATTCAGCCCAAAATGTCCATTACTAAGCAAAACAGTTGTTAAGTGAGTTTTGCCCCATTTTACAATCTTTTTTTGCCACAGTTGTTACGTGAATTGCTGTGACTGTTAAATTAGCGACACGGTTGTTAAGTGAATCTGGCTTCCCCTTTGACTTTTGCTTGTTAAACAAGGTCACAATATTTTTTCAATTAACAAATAATGCCTACTTTCATACAGACCAAATTTCTGTTTAGATAGATTATTGTCATTTTCCCACAGCTTTGATTATTTTTACATACAAAATATTTTCGATGTGTGCCTACAAATTATATAAACTATTTGTTTTAGAAACAATCAGAAAGGATGGAGCTGAAGAGACAGAGACAGAGAAAGAATGCGGTACTAAGACACCTCACAAAGTGAGCATAGCTGTTTTGACTTGGTTTTTTTTTTTTTTTTTGTCATCTGGTGCTAGCCAAAACTTCGTGTTTGACAAGAATCTAAGTGAAACCTGTGTCCGTACACTGAACATTTAAAAGACAGACAGAATCTTAGCCTTTGTCTGTTTCTGGCCTCAGAATTCATAGGCTCTGTTTGCCTGGTAGAGTTGAAATGATGATCAGATATTTTGTTTGAAGTAATGGCTGAATAGGTTTCTGGGCTGCTTGTTCCCCATTTCTTGCTTAAAAACAGACACTTTTCTTGAGTCAGCAATCCCAGATTTGCTGAGTCATTGCACGGAGCAACAGTCCCCATTAAATACCATGACACTGTGCTTTTTCCAGAAATGCCAATTAATGGCTTATATTACAATCTGGTGTACATTTGCAAGAGAACATTCCGTCAATGAAGAATTGCTATGAGCCCGTTGTCTCTTCTACCTTTTGGTGCCCAAGCGGTACATTTATAGCACCAACAATTTTTCAATTATTTTCTTTTTTTCATGGGGAAACTGTTGTTCCCTATTCCCTAGCACTGGTAGACTTGAACTATCATGTGGCTCATTTTATGGAAAAAAAAGAAATCAAGCCACTAGGCAAAACCAGTTTCTTTGTCTGGAAAAGCTATTACTTTATGAATGATTCATTAATTCTGTTCTACTTAGCAGAGGGACTTTCCCTACCTATTGTCTCACTAGGAAATAGGTAAGCATAATTATTGGGCAGCAGGTCCCTCATTGGAATCCATGTGGTGGAGTTCAAAAAAACCCACAACTTGACACATCGTGGGTGAAATATTTGGATTTAGATTGTGCCAAATACCACTAAATGTAGGCAAAGGAAGCTAAGGAATGTAAGGGGGTGAGTTTCAATCTCTTTCTTTGCAGTTTACTGTACAACCAAATTAAGATGACTTGGCTTCCTGAATTGTACTTCCTTTTCTGTATTTGCACAATGCACTAAATCATAAACCATTGGATATGTCTAGTTTAATTAAAAGAAGGACTAGATGTGACATGATAGCTGTGTTCCAACATCTAAGAGGCTGCCACAAGCACCTGAAAGGCAGGACAAGAAGCAACAGGTGGAAAGTAATCAAGGAGAGAACCAACCTAGAACTAAGGAGAAATTTCTTGACAGAACATTTAACAGGCAGTTGTGTGAAATTATATAGGGTTTCCTGTTGAGAAGGGATTGGCCTAAGAGACCTCCAAGGTCCCTTCCAGCTCTGTTAACTACTGTTGCGGAATTTACCATATCAGTTTTTAATATTTTAATTTTCCTTTCTCCCAGGTCCAAGAAAAACGTCCTTCTAAACCCTCATTAGAAACCAGAATGGTAACCACATCCTTAGTGCCTACTTCTCCTTTTGTCCTATGTTGTTAAATTTGTCTCAAAATCATTAACATATTAGACATTGCTGTTGATAAGTACCTGGAGCAAGGTCAGGAAATGATGCTATCAGGATATGAATGATCTATTGATATATCAGGATGCCAGTTCTATTGACTAGGTATTATGAAATACAGAACCAAAAACCATGATTTCTAGTTTTGGCAGCAAATTACACATAAACTCTGGTTGACCAGGCAAATTTAATTCTGTCTGCAGCTTAATGAGTCTCCTCAATCCATTTTTATTATCCTTTGATTAATTTCAGATTGATAATCATGGGGCTCTATGGTATAACCTAAATATGCTAACACATACCATATGTGAGTTTTTTAAATGCAAGCTTGCAATACTTGAAAAAAGAAGCCTTAATAGATTTTATTTGTCTGTTGGTTGAATTTCTGTGCCACCCATCTCCCCTACACAAGGTGATTCTGAGCAGCACAAAAATTCAGAAGAGGTTAGATTTGAGCTTTGAGATGATGAAAGTGACATTAAATAGTAAGCTAATGAAGAAATTAGAGGAGACAAGATTGCAACTCCTTGTATGTACCTTAATTGCTTTTAAAATTGCCATTTGTCTGCACATAGAACATATGCCTGGCCTCTTAAATCTGGTAACTGTCCAAATGTCTTTTTATTTTTAAACATGACAATTACATTCCCCTCATTTTAGAGACGCTACACCCATTACAAAGAAACTGAATTGTCTAGGATCCCAAACAAAGTATAATTTGCTATTGTTGGGAAGTGTTGAGCTTCCCCTAAAAGTTAGTTTTCCAGTTTTTTCCTATCCACCCTTCAGCTTGGTTAGAAGAATGGCAGGGAAAATATTGTAGCAGACAGGGTGGGGATCCTTTTCCATCCTTCCCTAGGAAACTCTACCATCTCCCCATCTCTAATATTGGTCTTGGCAGTTCCCAAAGGCCAGAGGGCGGGTCATGATCTCCTCTCTTGTTTCCATCCAAGGGAAGTGCACAAGGAACATCTGTCTGTGAGAAGGCAGAGAGCAGGTCTCCAGAAGATGGAAATGCCTTTCTTGCCGCGTCATTTTTCAATGGACATGCTTATGTGGAAAGAATTCCACAGAATTCTTCATTTTCCTTTTGTGTTTTTCCTTACTGTATTTGGTAAAAAAAAAAATGTGAGCCTTTAAATGAGTTTTCTAAAGTTCTTGAGTTTAATTTAATTTAATCTAATTAAGATTTATTGGTTAATTAACCCAGAGAGGCATATCAGTAACCTTTCTACTGGCTGAGAAATATTTTCACCCTACCTTCCATTAAATGATGAAGAAAGTTAAGCTAAAGATTCATCCTAGATCTAATTTGAAACTAGCAGAATTAAATATTAAAATAAACCTCCAAAGACACTTTTTCTCCAACAACAGACATGTCTGTAATTTGCGATGACTAAACTACTGAGATTTTGAAGGTGTAATGGTTTCCCTGTAAAGAATTACCATGAGCCATTACTGGACCAGCCAAGTGAATCCATTTGTTCATTAGTGGACCATTACTGGCCCAGCAATAAATCCTATCATCTTAGAGACCTGCAGGAAGATATGATTCACAAGACTAATTGGGGAGGCTTGTAAAATGCACTTAAGACTTTTCTAGTGTGGGAACAAGGACCGTCTGGACAGTTAGTTTGGAGAACTGTCGAAACATTCTCTTCTAACTTTGGGAATACCAGATACCCTTCCTGATGCCTATGCAAACTTCGCAGCAGATAGTTTCTCTTTGTGCCCTAATAGAGAAACATCTGTCCCTGCCAAGGATTGAACTCTCAACTTTCTGAGTGGGAGGTGAACATCTTCACCTCTAGGATAACACAGTGTATTCTACCAGGGGCATGGCAGAATTCTACAAAAAGAAAACATTAGCTTTTCTGTGAAGTTTTAGATCAGGGAACCCCAAACTTTTCTACCATTAATTCACTTCCTTTTGGTTTTTCCAGTTTTGACATTCCACAAGGAGGACATTTTGCTTGACTGAACATAAAACTCATCTTCTTTTGTCCTCTTCTTTTACATGAATGGTCAGAGCATAAGCTTGTATAATTGTCATATTTAAGGATTGCTCACATGATGCTTTCACATTTAACAAAAATTTGTGAATAACAAAGGCTTCCAGTTAGTCCATTACAATGACATTTTACTGTAATAGCATTTTCCATATTTCTTGGATAATATCATAGATTGAACTGAGGTAATTGTGCATGTGTTGTAATTCTACAACTGAGCTATAATATGTCCTCAATGAAGTTACTCAGTATGGCTGAAACAACATTTGGATTGGGAACTAAATCCTGCATGCAGTTTATTAATTTGTTTTGGATGATACTGTATTTCAAAGAATGATACATCACTTTTCCCTGGTAAGGCAATATGATTCTACGAAGCATGATATCATACAGGATTAAATTAGTAAACTGCACATGGAGTTTTTAGAATATGGAATCAGTATCTTCGCAGAATTGTGACCCATTTCCTGCATTTCCATCAAAATAGTTGAACGGGGAAACATCTTTGCATTAATTAACTGCCATGTAAACATGGTTGCAATGACACTTGCATTATTTTTACCTACCTATGTTACAAATGTTTTCCTTTCTTAATTTACAAAAATTCAGATTTCCGATCAGGAATATGTAAGCAAAATCAGCAATTGAGCAACATTTTGAACACCAAAAATTCCTTACCAACCATATTATACTGGGAATTTAAACTTGGAGAATATACAATAATGACAAAATTGCTACCTCATATTAATAACAGATGTTTGACAAATTTAAGCAAGAATGGTTTCCATATATAGCACATATTAGTCATACAGTTTATATGAGTCGGTTGTCAAGTGTCTGAATTTTGGTGACATGCTGTGGGGATGCTGCAATTGTCATACATGTAAAAAATGGTTATGTCACTTTTTCAGTGCTGTTGCAACTTTGAATGGTCACTAAACAAACAGGTGTAAGTCAAAAACTACTTATACTTGAAGTGGTATTTGATCAATGTGGAATAAAATGATACTACTATATTTCACATGACTTAAGAAAGCATAATTCTGTTGTTCCAATCTAAAATTTGATTAAGCTTTTGGGGTGTCAAATCCCATTGCTTACTTATAAAGTATTCAATTTATAATAATTAAAAATTGAAATAACATTTGTTTGGCAAATCAGTGTTCGTCATTAGCAGATCCATCCTGTTATGAAAGGATAAATAATCTTTAGCCCCAAGAGTAAGTGAACCTTCCCAAAGCCCCTCCAAATGTTTCCAAGTTGTAACCGTTAGTACTATTGAAGAGCAGAATAGCTAGATATAGAGAGAATAATCATATTATCCTGTATTTGATTAATCATATTATTATTATTACTGACCCAGATATGCTCATTGACTTGGGGTATCTATTATTGACTTGAGTTAGTCCAGCAGAAAAAGCCTTTCCTTCCTTAATGGGGCTAGCCTTGCTCTAAGTAAGATATTTATGAGGCAACATAACGTGAGGTTGCCCATGAAGTAGATCCAGAACTCTAGGCTAGACTTCTGAATTTGAAAAAGTGAAGTGTATTATATGAAAAAAATATCATTGAATGACTACTTGCTTCTGAGCCCAATTTATAGTTCATTTTAAAGTTATACACTACCTATGGTCCATATCACTGGGGGGATTCAAAAATTTTTTACTACCGGTTCTGTGGGTATGGCTTCGTGGGCTTGGTGTGGCTTGGTGGGTGTGGCTTGGTGGGCGTGGCAGGGGAAGGGTACTGTAAAATCTCCGATCCCGCCCCACTCCAGGGAGAAGGTTATTGCAAAACTCCCGTTCCCTCCCTGCCTCGCTAACCTGCTTTCCAGCTCTGTTCTCCTGTGCAGGGCAACCAAAGGGACCCAGCTGATCAGCTGGGACTCGATGGGAGGCAGGGAATAGATGGGGGCGGGGCCAGTCAAAGGTGGTATTGGCTGGTTCTGCAAACTACTCAAAATTTCTGTTACCAATTCTCCAGAACTGGCTGCATACCACCTCTGGTCCATATGCCCAAAGAGCTGGTTTCACTTATCCATTACTAATTCATTGTGTGTCAGATGGGAAAAAAATACATTATATGTTCAGACCTATTAATTTTAGTTTTATTCTAAGAATGTTATTTGCTGCCCCTTTCATCCTTTCTTTTATTTGTATAAGATAAACATAAACAGTATTAGCATTATTCCCTTATCTTTGGACTGAGTCCAGCAATCCATTTTTGTGAGTGAAGGGCAGTATTGAAAATTTCAAAATATAAAACAGAATGTGCAAATATGAATATGAATTCTTGTATTAAATGTTCTCTTTGGTGGTTCTTGCAGACATGGCAAATGGACTTTGCTTCCAGCCAAGAAAACACGAGTGCACCAAAGAAGAAGAAAAAGAAAGTCAGCACAACACTTGATTTGATTCTTGCCCCTCAAAAGTTATGACAGCCTCAGAAGCAATAGCTATAGCTGTAATGCACCTGAACAGTAGTATCTGACCTGTTACCTACCTGGGGTAAATTTCTACAGACAGCATATATTTGGGACAATGGCAACTTTGAGCCCAGTTGGAATAGGGAAAAAATGGGGTCCTATTAGCTCAGCTGCCTTGAAGCTATATAAACATTTTGCCATTTGTGAAGGCATCTTTCATTCTTGTCTTTGTAATGTCAATGTAATGAGATTGTATCACCCTGTCAGTTAACAGTTTATACTATATAAATACAGTTTATAATATATAAATACTAAATACAGCTAAACTATAGGACGGTACCTTTGTATCATCGTGCTTCCCTGGGCACAAAATGTCCAGAGATGTTTGTTGTGGATTATTTTACATGGAGGAGAATACATTGGAGATGTGTTTGTGTTCTGTGTGTTCTCCCGTTTTCTCTTTATTTTTTAATAAATACAGAAGAACCACATGTATAGCTCTCATTCTTAACCACAGACTGGGTTTCATTAATAATTGCATTTCTTGGTGGTGTTATTCAGTAGGGTATATGGAACCACCAGTTATCAAAAACACCAGTGCTAATTTAAATAGCTATCAGTAACTTCATTTTAACTTGATTAAGCTAACAAGAACCCAGGAAAAAAAAGCACCATTTCCTCAGTTTGCATGGCTAGACTTATCTCGAGTCTCATCTTAGTCATTTCTAGAAAACATTTCAGTTAGCGGAACCTGACAATTTCATTTTCCTGTAATGGTGTGTTTTTTTCTAGGTACTTTTGTTTCTTTTCACTTTTTTTTTAGGGGGGGGCGGGGGGAGTTGCTCTTTCATGTATATTTTCTAAAGCATACTGCTCCAAAGGGCCAAGCACACAGCATTGGTGCAAAACTTTCAGAGATTTTTTTGTACAAAACTTTGTGATCGTCCCCCTTCCTCTTTGTAAATGATGGAACTGATCTTCTAGTATGAGAGATAAAATCTAGCAGGAAGAGCTTGTCAGGGGGTAAGCTATTCACTAAAAACAGACATAAATGGATGGATTGTACCTAGCAGCTAGTATTTATATGACAGATCGTTGTTTTGTTTATTGCACTGATATCAACTGTGTAGCCTAATAGAAGCCGTGCCTGAAGTGCATATGGTTTCTTCTTGCATCTTGCAAAAATGAGCATTGGGATTTCTCTCACACTACTGGGTGCCATTTTGCAAAGAAACCAAACAAGTCAAGCGTATATAAACAAGCCTCTTCTCTCACATTCTGAGTATTGTTTCAGCAAATGCAGCTTTAGAAATCGAGCATCTTCTACTAATGTGTCATAAAAATTGCTGTATATTGAGCAATTTCCACTGCACATTTTAGACTAGGAAGGACCCTTACAATAAAGGTACAGCTAGTACTTCTGCTTGTGCTTCTTGTCTACACTATGTCGAAGGACTAACATCAGTCCTGCAAGCCTGAAAGTACCATCCCTTGCTTTTACTCTCTCCAAAACTAGGGAGGGTCTCTTGTGAGGTGTCTTCTCTACCCCTCCACCCTTCAAATTTCATTTATCAGAACATTGGTCTAGGCTGAAGCTTTTCCTCCTTCTCTCAAAGATCATTCCCACTCTAAATAATATTTTTTTCCGGAGTGCTTTTTTATCATCCTCCCACAGTGGCATCTTTGGCTCTCTTCTGTTCAGGTTTAGGAGAGTTATCCTGCTGGTGGACTGGCACAGTCCCAAGACCTTTTGTGCAGTTTCTTTCCAAACCTTCAGCTGGGTCGCAAAGGATAAAACAGACTGAGTTTTGTGTGATTGTACCCTACACGGTACAGGGATGCAATAACCCAGATTCCCCTGGAGGGCAGCAGTGAGAAACAGAAAACATCTGCTGGTTCCTTGGAATTCTGCAGCCCCGGTATAACAGACTAAAGGTAAGTGCTGTCTTAGAACATACTGTAGAATAAGAGAGTTGGAAGCAATCTTGGAAGTCTTCTAGTCCAGAGGTCTCCAACCTTGGCAACTTTAAGCCTGGAGGACTTCAACTCCCAGAATGCTGGGAGTTGAAGTATGCCAGGCTTAAAGTTGCCAAGGTTGGAGACCCCTGTTCTAGTCCAACATCTCGGTCATGCAGAAAACTCCAGACAAATTCAGACAAACCATTCCAGACAAATGTTTATTCTTGAAAATCTCCAGTGATGGAGCACCCCTAATTCTGGGAGACAAGCTACTCCCTTGATTAATCATTCTCACTGTCAACAAATTGCTCCTTAATTCTTGGTTGGAGCTCTTTTTCCTTCTTGCCTTGTTTATTATGTTCTGGAGGAGTGAGAACAGCAGCAGGGAAAACTCTGAGGACCCAGAATCGAAATATTTTCCATTTCAACTCTTGACTAACTTAAACAGAGGCAATGCAAAGTATTTTTGTGTGTTCGTGATGCAAGTCATCACCTCCTTTACCTTGTTTCAAGAAACTGCTAAACGAGGGGAATTCTCCCACTTTGCCTTTCCGGAATGCCTTAAAAACATGTACTGCACATGCTTTCACCTAGGTCTCTTACTCACCTCACTAGCCAGGAATCGCTTCTGGAGTTAAAGCCACACTGCTTTTCCGGAAAAGGCACTCAGTGCCAGCCACTTCCTTATATTTCAACCCAATCTCAAGTTTTCAAAACAGCTATCGGGCAAGGTGTGTGTGTAAGCAGCCATGACTGTGTGATGTGGGTCTTCTAGACCAACATTCGTGATTTCACTTTCCTCACTTGGTTTAGCCTTTTCCTTTGAGGTGAAGTGGCCGGCTCCTGTTCACCTGGTTTAGAAAGGACATGGCAAGTACTGGTACTTCTTGATTTATTTATCTGACAAAGGTTCAAAATTACAATGCCCTCAGAAAATGTGACTTATATATAACCCCTACTTAAAGCCATCGCACCACTCTGGCAATTTCGTAATTGCAATTGGCAACTGACTTGCTTTTATGACCAGCTACGATGCCCTGCGATTGCAATTTGCTATCTCTTTTGCCAATTTCTGGCAACAAAAACGTTCATTTGGGGCAACAGGATTCACTTAAGGACCGCATGAATAAGTACTAAATAACCACTCAGCAAATTGTTATAAAGTTTGATCAGACTTCATTTACAATCCCAATGAGCTTCAGTGGAAATTCCAATACCAGTGATGTACATAAGTCTAGGACTATTACTCCGTGTGTGAGCTCAGTGGAGACCGGTCCAGGATTCCTGAATTGTTTTTCTTTTCATTACAGGGAAAAGTAAGGGACTGTACCAAGCAGAAAACGGTTTCAGTGTGCCAAAGTTTCCTGCTCTGCGGAGCCAAATCTCATCTGATATGTCTGGTCAATGGAGTTTTGACCTTTCTTAATTTGTAGTGAGTAATAAAACTTCCAGATTGTCATGCAGCTCCTCGCATAGTTCATTCAGTGATGATGTAGGAGAGAAAAGGCCCCGTGGCTTCACCCACTTAGTTCTCACCTCCAAACTCAGCCAGGCATCATTGGGCAAAAGTGGTGATTCACCTCTCGACAATTCCTTTCTTCTGCTATGGTTTCTCATGATCTCATTGGGCAGCACCTGGGTTCTTTTCAGGAAGCTTTTCTCCCCCCCCACCCCCACCCCCCAAAAATGTTCAAAGGGTTCAAGAAGTGAGAAAATAGACCTCCATGAAAAGAGCTGGTTGGAGTTGGGCAACTTCCAAACTGAAATAAATAATCTTTGTTTTAAAGCAAGAGCAAGCTCTATTCTTCAAGGTTACTGGGGGCGGGGTTCGCTCCTTAATTTTCAGCTCAAAACAATATTTAGTACTGAGCAGGGAAGTACAGGTAATCCTCAACTTACGACCACAATTCAGCCCAAAATTTATGTCGCTAAGAAATTTGTTAAGTGAGTTTTGCCCCATTTACGACTCTTCTTGCCACATTTGTTAAGTTCTTAAATTAGTAACCCAGTTGTTAAGTGAATCTGGTTTCCCCATTTTCTTTGCACGTCAGAAGGTCACAAAAGACATGACACAGTCGTAAATATGAGTCCGTTGCCAAGCATCCAAATGTCAATCATCTTGACCATGAGAATGCTGCAAAGGTCATAAGTGTGAACAACGGTCATAAGTCATGGTTTTCAGTGGCGTTGTAACTTCAAACGGTCACTAAATGAACTGTTGTAAATTGAATGACTATCTGTATAAGGTAAAGTCTATCCATTCAGCAGTCAAGCTGCCCTCCTGTTAGGTTGAAAGAATTCAAAAGCAGTTCTGCGGTCATTAAGTGAATCCGGTTTCCCCCATTGACTTTGCTTGTCAGATGCCATTTGGGAAGGTTGCAAACGGTGATCACATGACCCCCAAGATGCTGCAACCATCATAAATGACAGGTTGGTTGCCAGGTGCCTGAATTTTGATCCCATGACTGTGGGAATGCTGCAACGGGCATCATCGTGAAGACTGAAAAGATCACTTTTTTTTTTAGTGCTGTTGTAACTTTGAAGAGTTACTAAACAAATGGCTGAAATTTCAGGACTACCTGTAACTATTATTTGAAAAGTCTGTTTTGATGGAAAGGAAGAAGTCAATGGTTTTGATTGGCATGTGTTTTCCCTAAGCTGGTCTCCCACAGATGTACCACCACTTCTCCAAGACCTGAAATGTACTGACACACACAAATAATTCCTAGATTCAAATCTTTATTTCCATTTTTTTCTATAAGACAATTTGGTTTCCAGTTTAGAGAATAATATCCAGTATACATCTGTCTTGTGATCTGGAAACTTGGAAAAAGAGTATTGGCTTGCTCATTTGCTTTTAGCTAATAATTTATACATAGAAATCTGTAGCTTTTTCTTAACACGGCATTATTAGATAAAGAAAGGTTCCATACATTGTGGCTTAAAATCACAGAGGTTTAAAGCAGATATTGTTGGCCTTAACTATTACACAAAACAAGCTGCTTCACAGTTTTAGCCATGCAATATCCCTCTTCTCTTTTTTTCAGAAGTCCCTGAAGTTACAGACTCAGCATAATTTTACCCCAGATATCGGAAATTACTTCAAACCAACATTCTTTTTGGGCACCGGAAGGAAGGCTTGGTAAGTACATTGACCATTATTTGCCCAGCAGAACTAAAAAGAATTATACCACATTAGGAAAACTGTGTCCATTTTTGGTCACCACAATACAAAAAAAAGATGTTGAAACTCTGGAAAAAGTGCAAAGAGGAGTAACAAAATTGATTAGGAAACCAGAGGCTAAAATATATGAAGAACAGTTGCAGGAATTGGGGAGGTCTAGTTTAGTGAAAAGAAGGACTAGTGGTGATAAGATAGCAGTCTTCCAATATTTGAGGAGCTGCCACAAAGGAGAGGGAGTCAACCTATTCTCCAAACCATTAGAAGGAAGACAAGAAACAAGGGGTGGAAATTAATCAATAGAACAGCTTGCTTCCAGAAGTTGTAGATGCTCCATCACTGGG